CTTCCAAGGTCTGTAATGTTCATTTAGGTTTTAAGACAACCTGCCAGAAATAACCTAATTTTCCTTTGTTTAACACAGTATTTCCAAAACAGGCTCCATTTTCTACTACATTCTCATGGACAGTTTAAGAGTAATTATTCTGTGAAGTACTTTGAGGAACAATAACGTATTAGATATCTAAGCATCTACAGTATCACTAATTCACAAAACAAAACTTTAACTCATTTTAGTTTCTAAAGTTTAAATTTTAAAACATTTTAGAGGATGGGGTAAAGCAAGACTTTGAAATCAAATGAACACATCAATAAGGATAGGGTAAAAGAAGTGATATCTCAATTTTTAGGATAAGAAAATCTCTACCTTTGAATAAAATCCAACCTTGGTCTTTAAGTATGGAGACAAAAGGCAGCCAGCAACTGTCATCCCACCTTCCCAGGACTGAGGAGAACAACAGGGACAGGCAATCTCTCCAGCCAGGACATCGAGGTGGCTCTTGATAAACCCATTTCCCTTCCCCATACAGAAAGGCAGCCTGAGAGATGCACAGATAACCCCAAGGGAAGACTCCACTTACAGAAAATGGTATTTATAAAGCATCAAATGTTGAGCAGTACAAATACTTAAAAAGAAACTTCTAATGGGAGTTTATAGTTTACAAGAATTACAATGAGCAATTGTGCTGTTTAACCCATTTGTTTATAGTCCACAGAAAGCTCCATGGCCAAGTGAGAGCTTTCTAACATAATGCCACTTATAAATGCACTTGGTTGAAGTGGAAAACTCTCAAACTCTGCCCCATGTTTAGCAGGCTGGCCAGAAGCACACATAGGTAGATGATAAAGCCAACAAGTCCAAGGAAGAACAGTGTTTGTGCTGGATGTCACTGTTTTCCAGGGGAAAATACCATGTATGGCATGTCCCAGACTCTACAAAGAATCCCTGTTCATAGCTTGATAAAATTTCCTTTACTGTTATCAACACTAGGAAGATCCAGTCATCTCATGAATAGTAGGTGAGAAGTTAAGCTTCTTAAAGTGGCAAGAATAAAGACCTCTGCAGATGCAGAACACACTGTTACCCAGACTACAGTCGAGGGACAAATAGCTGGGTCTGTTTTCCAGACAGAATATCATATTCTCTAAAACAGAAATTATTAACTACATCAAGAAAAACAAGACTTCAGATAAATGAAATACCAAATGCTGCTACCCGTAATTGGTTAAAATTAGTCTTATCTCTTAATGTAAAATTTAAAGACATGATAGAATCACAAATCACAACCTTCAAACATCAATCAAACTGGCATTACAGATTCACCCTTTTGGGAAGGTAGCCTACGCATCAGTTCCAAATTCTAATTCTATACTAGTACATCACTTACCATTTTATAAGCAGAATGTTTAGTTTCAAAGTTCAAACTATATATATATATGTATGTATGTATGTATGTGTATATATATATGATGTATGTATATATATATATATATATATATATGATACACTCTTAATGTTCTATGTTTCTATTCTGTTTTATAGATTAAGAAAAACCCTAATATTCAAAGAGATTTCTAAGTGATGTGGCTAGTGATAGGAACAGGAAGACAATGACCCCTCTCTCTTCTCCATATGGCTTCTCCTGGTGGATGTTTTCCAATCTTACCATGAAGTAGTTTAAATTACATTGTGAGCTGTTCCCTAAACGTGTCCCCGAGTGACAAGAGAGGAAAACAAATCAAAGAGCTTATGGATTCAGACATCTTCTGACATCAATACTAGGGAGAAAGTGAAGCAGCTTTCCCTCCATGGAGACACCTTTCTAACTCAAGAGGGTCCAAGAGCTGAAGAGCTTGAGTCCATCAGTGTGTATGCCCAGGAACATTGAGGGAAGACTGTCAGTCACAAAAAAAGTATGGAAATGTTTCTTTTGCAGACAGACCCAAAGGTCAAAGGATTTTACCTATGCCCTAAAATGAAAGCCACTTGTGAGACATCCAGAGACGCACCCCAATATAATTCTCCAGTAAAATGTCATCTGAACAGAGCTGTTCCATGACCACCAGGAGAAAAGCCATGGGACCTCTTGCCAGTGAGCTGTAATGAATATAGAGAATGACTAAAACAAAGGCAAACAAAAGAGTCATTGCAGAAGAGCTCTTGGGAAACTGGGATGCTTAATTTGGGGTATGAGAGTCATTCTGTCTTAAGTCCTGTTTTCTGAATGTAAGAGTCTTCAATAACTTGGGCTGGGGAGGTGGCTCAGTGGTAGAGTACTTGTCTTGCATGCATGAGGCCCTGGGTTCGATTCCTCAGCACCACATAAGCAGAAAAAGCCGGAAGTGGTGCTGTGGCTCAAGTGGTAGAAAGCTAGCCTTGAGCTGAAGAGCTGAGGGACAGCGCCTAGGCCCAGAATTCAGATCCCCACAGCCAAAAAAAAAAAAAAGAGTCTTCAAAAACTTGACAGCTAAAGCTTAAAAGTAAAAATATGCTTCCAGCCACATGTGCTCCTGAATGCTGAGAAATTCATTCCAAGGCAATGTGGAATCTTATACCAAGAAGGTGGGCCCCCCCTTAAGGAGCTTCCACTGTCTTTACTCTGCCCTGTGGTTATATTGAGCTGGTTTCCTTTCATAGCGATTTAGCAACTTGCTTTGTTTGAGTTGCCATCCTTGCCTGAAACTTGCTATGTAGTCCTGGCTGGTCTTAAACTGATGATCCTTCTGCAGGCTGGGATTACATGAGAAGTGGTTCCTTTTCAAATCAAGAAATACCCTATCAAATTAACCTCTTCCAAAAAGTTGTGAGGAAAAGGTGACTAAATGACAACTTCCAACAGGGTATAAAGATGAAATGTATTATACCCAAAGTAGTCATTTATCAGTATGAAAATTATGGTTTAGCCAATAAAGATTTAAAGCTAATATATTTAATCTCTCTTAACAGATCTTTGTACAATCTTTCATAATTGCACACACATACCCACACAAGAGGGAAATCCACGCTTGAAATATCAGACAAAAATTGATGGCACGTTTTCTGCTCAACTCATTCTTTCCAGGGAACATGAAAGTGGTGTCCTTTACAATGACAGCCAAATGTCTTTAGAAGACATACATTCCTCTTCCTCCAAGAAGACAAACCATCTATTCTTCCAAAAACCAAACATCTACGTTTCTAAAGACAAACCTCCGTCAGCTCAAGCTCAGGTAAGAGACGGCACTGGCTGGCCTGGTAGCACTGTTATCCTATTTAGCTTCCATTACATTCTTTTTTTTAAACCAGCTCAAGGGCCATTAAATGTCGAGAGCAGATGTCTGGGTTCCATTAGGGGCCTATTCTTGCCTGGGAAAGCAGAGATGCTTTAGCTCACAGTGCTGGCTCTCAGACATTCCCTTTCCACAGCTATCCGGGGCTTCAGTGAGCTCACTGTAGGAGCCCCTTGTAATTCCTTTGCATGGAGGGTTAACAAGACTGGGTTTTTATGGCTTTGAATTCCTTTTCTCTTTCATGTCATTTAAAGAAGGGAGTAAGCAGTTATCTGAGAATGAAACTTAAGAATAATAAAACAACAACAACCACCAGAAAGAACTGGAGCAAAGCAAAGCCTTTTAGCATGGTGACTGGGGCACAAACCTGTTAGCAGAAGGCCCCAAAGTTCCCCTCAGTTTTCTAGAAGGGTAGTTCCAGGGCAAGCTTTCTATTAGCTACTACTTGGGCTAAGTCCAGAGCACTTCCCATTTTGTACCAACTGAAAAAAAACTAAGGAACTACTATGGGTCAAGCCATGAGTCCAGCTGTGTGGCCTTGGGCAAACTACTTAACCTCTACAGGCTCCCTATTTGATCATCTGTCAGTATGTTTGTCTAATTGCACTGTACATATTTCAACCCACTGTAGTTTTGCAAAGTACATTCATATCCTTTGTGCATTTGATTCTTGCAAAAACCCTGTGGAGTAGCTAGGGTCATTACCCTCATATTCTAAAATGGGAAACTGAGGTGCAGGTGCTAAGCAACATGCCCATGACAGCAGCCAAAAAACTCCCAACTCTGATCCCAAATCACACCTTTGTGCCACCATTCACAAGTGTGCCACTCTGTGTCTGATATCATTTATAGGTTGAATAACAAGGAGAAGCACATGAATAACTGCTCCCTCGTATAAAATCTTGTCTTTCCAGCCTCTTTTTTTTTTTTTTTGTGTCAATCATGGGGCTTGAACTCTGGGCCTGGGCACTGGCCCTCAGCTCTTTAGCTCAAAGCTAGCACTCTACTACCTGAGCCACAGCTCCACTTCTGGTTTTCTGCTGGTTAAGTGGAGATAAGAGTCTCATGGACTTGCCTTCCCAGGTTGGCTTTGAACCGCAATCCTCAGATCTCAGCCTCCTGAGTAGCTAGGATTACAGGCATGAGCCACCAGCGCCCAGCTCATTTGTATTTTTAAATGCTTAAGTCCTGAGCACTAATCTAGATGTCTAGTACTACGGTGAAGAATAACCTAACAGATCAGATAATTCACATAAGAAAGAGTTCAGAAACAAATGCTCCATCACCATGATGTTGGAAAAAAAAAGATGACCAGACACCTCATCACATGGCAGACTGACAAGGGAAGTGCTGGATCCGAGTGCCTATAAGGGAGCCCTGGGGTTTCCATCCTTCACCTTCAAGCAGGACCTAAGATTCCCTTCCTTCTCCTGCTCTCATCCACTCATCCATCATGTAGGGGCACTGTGCCATAACTCAGTGAGGGCTGCAGGATACAAAGAAGGAGCCTCTCTGTATATGTGTGTGTGCTCTTCTTACTGTCAGTAAACCTCCTGAGGAGGGAAGGGTACCTAGCAGCCCTATTTGGTTAGCAAGTACAACTCTGGGGTGACTGTCTTGGAACCAGAAGACTGTGTACCACTGGCCTACAGTTCTCTGGGGCAGTTAAAGATAATAAAGGACAGGGGTTCTGTGGCCCTTCCTTCTTATTGTTATGCCATAGCCTTGGGCACTGACCTGCTTTGCCCACTTCCCCTTTCCTCAGTGATCCTTCAGCCTGGCACCCAGCTCTGAGATGAGGCCTGCTTAGCACCAGTGAAGTTCCCCACGTTCAAACCAACAACGTTCTGCGTGGAGATGAGGGAGTCAAAGTTAAAATCCAACCCATCAGCATCCATGAGTTCACTACGGATAATGGACTCCATGTCACATTCCAAGCTCCCATTGAACATGTCCAGGTCCAGGTCACTGGGGAACTTCTCGTGGCCCATGACAGGAAGGTTTGCACTAGTTGAGTATAAGGAGGAGCCTGAGAGAGAGTCTGAGAGGGTTTGCATAGACTGGTTGCCAGGAGACTGTTGCTGGTGTTTGGCTGACCCAAGGCTGTTGGAGTCACTCAAGCCCATGTTGCTGACGGAATTCGACAAGGCACGGCTGCCACCAAGAGCACTCTGGGTTTGGTGCTGATGGTGGAGCAAGTTCTGATTGACCAAACTCCCCTGGGTAGGCTGGGCAGCAAAGGACATCATTGGGTCACTGCGAAGAATCACGTTCCGGCGGGAGTTCTGAGCAGACACAGCAGTGCTGGCCTGAGACATTAGGGGGTCTGACTGGGTCATCATGACATCGCTGTGGCTGAGTGAGTCCGAAGTGAGCAGGTCTTGGAGTGTCTGGTTGCCATAGTGTGACATGGAAGAGAAGGTGGCTGGCTTGTTCTCTTGGATGGTCTGCATGGGAGACTGGCGCAGGGAGTTCAGAGATGAAGGTCCAAATACGGTGCTATTAAAGGAGCTGGTTGGAGAGCCCAGGCCAGAGCCCTTGGTGGTATATGGGAAGCTAGAGCTCCGCTGCATGAGACTCCCAGTGGGTGATGACTGGGATGATGGGAGTGTGATGTTATCTAGCAGGTCGTCCATGAGGTTCTCAGTCAGCCCATCATTCAGATTCATAGTGCCCGCCATGTCGGTGAGCCGTGGCAGCTCCATGGTGCATGGCTTGCTCACTGAGGGCGACAGGCTGGCTGAGCTGCTGTAAAGCATGGGGGAGAGTGGTGCGTCGTCGTCCTGGACATCATCCAACTCTGTGCTTGCCAGGATGGGTGACAGGCGGCCACTGACTGTGCTGGCATTGGAATTGGTGCGTGAGCGGAAGTCTGTCCACGCATCCAGCTCATCGCTGCTGCGGGATGTGGGGCTGCCGGGCCACTTGGAGAGCTGGGAAGGGCTGTCATCTGCCGACTCCTGTGCAGTCTGCAGGGCTGCCTTCTTCTTGGCTGCACGACCACGGCTCTTGGTGTACTTGTTGCTGTTGTCCATGGAGACGGCTCTTCGCCGGGGGGCCTTCCCACTCTTTCCCCCATCAGGGTTGATGATCCACCAAGAGCTCTTGCCAGTCCCCTCATTTTGGACCCGCATGAATCGACTGTGCAGTGACAGGTTGTGCCGAATAGAGTTCTGTAGAGAGAAAGGGAAAAATGTCAGACATGAGCCAGGATGCACAGAAGAAATACATAAATCAAAAATTTCCATTTTCAAGTCTTTCCATCCCCCACATCCCCCTGGCTGATACTAGGGTTTGAATTCAGGGCCTCACAGTCGCTCAGCTGGCATTCTACCTCTTAAGCCACACTTTCAGCTGGCTTTTTGGTGGATATTTTGGAGATGGAGTCTTAGGGATTTTTTTCTGCCCAGGCTATCCTTGAATTATAATCCTTCCAATTCTCAACCACCTGAGTAGCTAGGATTAGAGGCATGAGCCACTGGTACTTGGCTATAAATCTCATTTTCTGCTAGTACTGCAGCTTAAAATCAGGGCCTTGTGCTCTTGCTTGGCTATTTTTGCTCATGGATGGTGCCACCTGAGCCATGCCTCCAGTCTAGCATTTTGCTAGTTAACTGAAGATAAAGAGTCTCAGAGACTATTATGCCCCGAGCTGGGGCAGACCCTCAGATCTCATCTTCTAGGCTAGAGTAGTTAGGATGTCTACAGTAAGCCACGGGCACTCAGCTAAGCCTCCTCAATGTTAAAAGACTAAAAATGATTTACAAGACAATCATCTACATGATCTTCCTACATGCAAGTCATGGAATAAAGAGGCGAGGTAAGTGGGAGGTTTCATGTCTAGGAGGTTGGGAGATGGTTTCATAGCAAGGAGACACTGGGAACAAACAAGCTTATTGAGACCGTTTTCCCCAATTTGTAAGTTTTATTGTCCTTTCCACAGTTATATTCCAATATTAGAGTTCACACTTAGAATTTATTGCCACAGTACTCCTTTCTTTGTACTTTGCAACAGAGCTCCCTGACTCTCTAGAAGTAATTCATCATCTGAGCATGCATTTTACTCCCCCATGGTCCTCTCTTCCACAGTAACAGGCAGCATCTACTTCTTAACTACTTCTATGAACTAAGAATAGGAATTTTTACCTGCCTTCCCATGACTCCATCCACCCCATCTATTCACATCTTATTATGTTACATCTGGTAGACACAAGAATGATATGTCAGGATTTTCTGGGTTTGTAAAAGAAACAGGCAAATCTCCAATTTGGAAGAATTCAAATAATTTATATACGATCCCCTCAAGGTAATGTGGGTTGAGTGCAGAATGTTCTGTCCAAGAGGGAGAAACACTTTTCAAAAGGTTTTTCAATGGACAAAATATAGTAGGATTTCTCTATATTATAGGTTAAGCAAATATATTAGCAAATGTATTAGGTTAAGCAAATAAAAATAGAATATATCTAAAAAAAACAAGGAGAAAATTAACTTTACAGTGGAGAAATCTGACAAATATTATCTCAGCTAGGTGATCAAGGTCAACACCAATGGAAGTACCTGTTGGTAGTCTGTACCTTTAGAAACAATGTGTTGAAAATAAGCAACTTTTGTATTCTTTTTCTCCAAACCCACAATTCCAATCTAATTATGAAGGAATATTAAGCAAATCTCAATTAAAGAACATTTACAAAATGCCTGCCAGCAAAGAAGAGCCTAAGGAGATAAAATGGTTACTGGTAATGTAGTGTCCTAGATTAGAAAAAATGAGGGAAGTCTGAATAATATATGGATTTTAGCTCATCATAGATGTCAATATTGGTCCACCATTGTAACGTAAGTACCACAATGTTAAGATGTTAATAGAGGGAAAGTGATGTTGGGTATATGCAAACTCTGTACTATCTTTGCAACTTTTCTACATATCTAAAACTAAATAAAAGGTATGTATGCTTTTGTGTGTGTGTGTGTGTGTGTGTGTGTGTGTGTGTGTGTGTGTGTGTGAGTGTGTGTGTGTATGTATGTATACATGCATATGGATGAAGAGAGAAAGGGAGAGAAAGGAAGAGAAAGAGAGAGAGAGAGAGAGGGAGAGAGAGGGAGGGGAGAGGGAGAGAGTGAGAGCGCAGGTCTTGTGGCTTGAACTCAGGGACTACACCCTATTCTGAGCTATTTTTTTGTTCAAGGCTAGTACTCTACTACTTGAGCCACAGGCTCCACTTCCAAGTCTTGGTAGTTAATTGAGGGGTAAGCATCTCACAGACTCTCCTTTGTGTGTTGGCTTTGAACTTTGATCCTCATATCTCAGCCTCCTGAGCAGCTAGGATTACAGACATGAGCCACCAGTACCAAGAAAAAAGATTTACATTTTTCAAGTACAGCAAATATCCTCAAAAACCTGTCTCCAAAAATACCTTCTTCCTTACCTAGTAGATATACCTGGTTGTCAGGTATAACCCAGATTCAGTTCTATCTCTGCTACTAGCCAAACATGCGACCCCAGACAAATAATTTAATCAGTCTGCAACAACTGCAGTACTCCATCTTCATTACAGCCATGATAATATCCTGCCAGGGATGACATAATGACGATAGATGATAATAACACACGTCAGAAGCCAAATCACGCTAGGCAGTCAGGGTGTTCTGGTCGCACTTGTGAAGTGCAGAGTCCAACAGTGGGCTCATGGCCTGGGGAAAGCTCATTCTGATCTGTAAAATGCTCCTTGTGCAGAAAAAAAAAAAGAGTTGATGGTATGGTCCACATCTGGAACAGCATCTGCAGGCCAGATGAATTTTTATTTGCAAGTTCAAGATAAAAGATACTGCCTTTTGCCATATATTAAATATGGATATATATCCATAAATATGAATCTTTTTGTTACCATTCTTTAAAATTGGCAAATCTTAAAGTGTATTTATATAGAAGATACAAATACATGTGGTCTACCAGAATGTTTTTAAAATACAGAAAGACAGCATGATTTTTACTGTAAGTAAATGACCCAAAATACTCAGTGTTTCCTATGCATGTTCCCATGCAAGAACGAACTGCACTCCAGGCAGAGCAATGAGCATCAGCAATCTTGGGTCATACTTGGCATTTTTACAACTGCCATCAAGATGTATGGGAGAGAAAAAAACAGACAGCATGCTGACTATCTGATGAATCAAATAATCATGTACCCTGCTTCTCTTTTAACTCTTACATTTTTTAAGATAATAATAGCAGCTCTACTAATGGTTCAGAATTAGATTCCCTTGAAAAGTCCAACACTTTCTCTGTGAAATAGGCATAAAGCATGATCTTGATATGTACTCTGCAGAGTTCAGGAAAGACGCAAGTTCAAGGTGGTTCCACTAGTGAGTACTCACAGATGACTTGATTAAATAAAAACGTAAACACAAACTAATGCATGAAAAAAAAATCGAGATGTCCTGAAGTTACAAGGGTACTGCAGGCATCTTTCTAATTACACTTGCCAGCCTCCTTTGCTCTAATTCTAAAAAGAGCTTATACCAACACCCAGAATTATTCAGAATGAGCAATTGTTAAATATCATCTATCCCCTCTTTAAAAAGCATTTGGGGAAGAAAAATGTATTTTAGTTTTATCACTTACAAACCTACTGAAAGAAAAAACATTTTATGGAAACTCAAAATGTCCTGTGTGGATTTTTGGATGGTCATCTATTACTATGACTATAACCTCCAGCAACCTATGTGTATGCAATTATAAGTTACAACTAGCTGAATTTAGAGATGGATATTAAGCTACTGTAAGGTATGTGGTAAAGAGGATGGAACACACATATTGAGGGCCAGAGCCATACAAGTCAAAGCAGGAAAGGAGGGCCATGAAGACAAGCCACCCATTCAGGTCCCCAATGGCAAGGACAAAGATCTGAGGGGCTTACAAGCTTCCAGCATGGGTTGTTACTGAGACACAGGTTTCAGAATCACCATTTCTAATTCTTACTATAAGCCTGCAGAGTTTGTATATCCATGTTTAATAAAGGTTCAGGCTAAGAGATAGGAAACAATTTAACACAAGACTCCATAGCTGGTCCATAAAGAACCACAACTGAAATTAGGCTTCCCAACGCTAATCTCACATTTTCTTTACCATAACCCTTCCTAGATCCACTACCAAATTATGCACTAGTCACCATTTAATCTATATGTGCTAACAGTTCAAGAGAGCCATCTAAAGCAACTGATGCTTAAGAAAGAAGGACATAAAAGCATTATTGTATTACTTTGATTTTATTTATGAACTATTGTGGGGTAAAAATTTGGGGCTCTCCCCCACTATTTTGTGTGTGTGTATGTGTGTGTACTAATACTGGGTTTGAATTCAGGGCCTCGGCCCTTTTCTTGAGTTTCTTTGTTCAAGGTTAGTGCTCTACCACTTGAGCCACTGCTTCAGTTCTGGTAGTTAATTGGAGATAAGAGCCTCAGAGACTTTCCTGCCAAGGCTGGCTTTGAACCAGCATCCCCAGATCTCAGCCTCATGAGTAGCTAGATTGAGCCACCAGCACCTGCCTCTGCCAGCAAAAAAATAATAATTTTTTAAGGACTTAAAAAAAGAAAAAAGGCTTTCTGGAGGGCAAACCCGAGGACAGCAATGCCTTCCTTCCTTAGTGATACAGCCTGCACAGCACCGTCTCTAAGGAGACACGGGGTGGTCTCTTTAAGGATGGGACTACCCTCAGTTTCTGAAACAAATTCTACCTTCTTTAATGAGCAATTAGCTTCAGTGGGTAGCCAGTCTTCACCTGACTCAAATTTTAGAGGTTTGGGTGGCAGAATATATTGCCTAAGGCATATATCTAAAGAGCACTCAGACAGGTTTTTCTAGTTACTTAAGACAACAGAAACAGAAACCGGTAGGCCCTCATCTCAGCAGCATCCTATTCACACAGGCTGTCCAACTGTTCCTTTATAAAAATCCATAATCTGAAAAGTAGGGCATTGACAATGGCCAATAAGCATGACTCACACCTGTCTGTTTCTGCTTCAAATGCCAGAAATGTATTCTGTTTTCCTCAGAAGCCAGGACTTCCAATGACTAGCTTTTCCATCTAGGTTTTGGTGAAGCAGGAAAGGCAAATAATAAATAAACGCCAAGTAAAATACCAGTACTGTGATGTTTCTCCACTGATAGAATTTTCGG